GAGCACAGGCTCCGGACGTGCAGGCTCAGCGGCCATGGCTCACGGGCCCAGCCGCTCCGCGGCATCTGGGATCTTCCCGGACCAGGGCACGAACCCGTGTCCCCTGCATTGGCAGGCGGACTCTCAACCACTGTGCCACCAGGGAAGCCCTAGTTATCTATTTTAAGGAGCCATTTTAAATAGACTTCAGCAGACCCTGGAGACACCTTTATTGCACCAAAGCCCAATGTAATGATAATTCTGAATCATCACGGTCTGATTGTGCTTAAGGAGGCTGGGAAAAAAAGATCTTTCATCTTGGACCTCTTTCCATAAACTTTAATAAATTAAAAGGGGGGTAAGTGTGTGCCATCGTCTCTCCCTAATGGTCCCAGCTACCAGAAATCTTGGTATATAATTGAGGTGTGTCTGGTACTCTGGAGAGGTCAGACCAGGGTTTTATAACTGGAGAGTCCTCAGCACACTGGCAGCATGTGATGGATGTGTTTGAAATAGGAACACTTGTCACAAACTTATTACTACTATCACTGATAGTTCCAGGTAGAGTACGTACGCTAACTTTTTTACTCCTCATGTTAACTTTATGAGAGTAGGTACTGTTATTATCCCTGTTTTACAGGGGAGGGAGCTGAGGCATAGAGAGGCAGAGTAGCATGCCCAGCGTCATGCAGGGAGCAGAGGAGCCAGGACCTGAACCCAGGCAGGTTGACTTCAGAGGCTAGGTTCCTCGCCTCCACACACGACTGTCAGCTCCATCCTGAGCTGAATGACTGACTGCCAGGTCTTCTGTGCTGGGTTGTTGGGCCCAGAGGGGACTGAGGTCACGTGTCCCAACAAGATTGCAAGTTTATCGGGGCTCTCAAGGGACCGCGTGGGGAGTCAAGAGCTTCCTGGACTGAGAGCACGGCACTCCCACCCATTCCCTCCCTTTCTCCCAGACGCACCCTAGCTGACATCATCATGGAGAAGTTAACTGAGAAGCAGACGGAAGTCGAGACGGTCATGTCCGAGGTGTCAGGCTTCCCTGTGCCCCAGCTGGACCCCCGGGTCCTGGAGGTCTACAGAGGGGTCCGGGAGGTAAGAGCTGAGAGGAGAGCTGTGATGGGACTCCCTCACAGGGGCTTTGGGTGCCCACATCTCTCGTAGAAATAAGGCCTGGTGGCTGAGAGCGGGCTCAGGGGTCAGAGTGCACAGCTCCAGGGTCCTGCTCTCCTGCTTACGTGACTCTCTGGTCTCAGTTTCCCCACTGGAAAATGAGGATGATAATAGCACCTCCTCACAGGGTGGTTGTGAGGATTAAGTGAGTTAATGTATGAAAGGCACCCAGACAAGTGCCTGGCACCCGGCACCTGGTAAACATCGTGTATGTTAATGACGATGATGATTTTGTTCTCTCATCATCAGGTGTTGTCTAAGTACCGCAGTGGGAAACTGCCCAAGGCATTTAAGATCATCCCTGCCCTCTCCAACTGGGAGCAAATCCTCTACGTCACAGAGCCTGAGGCCTGGACCGCTGCTGCCATGTACCAAGCCACGAGGTAGAGCAGATGGGGGTCAGGGCTGCTTTGGGTCTGTAGGGAAGGGCTGGGTGTGGGAAGGGCAGGCTTCCCTTCCCTTTGCCATTACATCCTAGCTTTGCCCCCACAGCGCTGTCTTATGCTTCTTTATGTCATCATTTTCCCAGCTCTTTCTGTTTCCTGTTTTGGAGCCGAGACCCTGTTAAGAATATCCTGAGATGACTTTCCAGGGGAGAGGCTCAAAACTACCAGGATACAACCCTAGGGTGTCAGGGTGGCCTCAGAAGTCTGTGGCTCCCCAGGCATGCACAAGTCCCTGGTGACAGCAGGACAGAGGGACCCATGATGGAGAGGGGATGGTGAACAGCTGGGTACCTGTCTGCCTGGGAGAGCTCTGGCTCACCCCAAACACAGACAGTGTTCACCCTGTTTGGGTACATCTCGTAGCCCCTCCTGTTCCCTCTCTCATCTGACCTGGGTGTTGCATGCACCCAGCTCGCTTCACACACCCTCCGATCTCTTGCATGTACCATCCACATTGATATTTAAAAGGCGAGCTCCAGACTATCAGGTGACCTGGGATCTCCCCCCTTTCCTCCAAAAACACTAGGATTTTCGCCTCTAACCTAAAGGAACGTATGGCCCAGCGCTTCTATAACCTGGTCCTGCTCCCCCGGGTGCGAGATGACATTGCTGAGTACAAGCGACTCAACTTCCACCTCTACATGGCACTGAAGAAGGCTCTATTCAAGCCTGGAGCCTGGTTTAAAGGTGGGAACCCAGGAGGCACTTACGAAAGGGAGGGGCTGGAGCTCCTGCAGTACCTCCTTTCTCTCACTCTGGGCTTAGAGTGACTGCCCCTCTGCCCCTCCCCAGGCATCCTGATCCCGCTGTGCGAGTCGGGCACCTGTACCCTCCGGGAAGCCATCATCGTGGGCAGCATCATCACCAAGTGCTCCATCCCTGTGTTGCACTCCAGGTAGTGTCGGTGGGGGTGGAGGACCACTGATTGGCGGATCTCCGCACGGCAGAGTCCCAGGACTGGGGATGGGGGGGGCAGAGTGGGGAAGGAGCTAAGCATAGCCCTGGGTTTGCAGCTCATTTAAGCCAGTGGGTGTATCGTTACTCCACAAGAATGTCAGTCCCACAGGAACAAGGTCCCAGGGCCTGGCACATGGTAGGTGCTCAGTAAATAGTTGAATGAATGAAAGAATGGGGAACATGGGAAGAAAGTAAGTTAGGGGTGGAGATCTCAGGACATTAGGACCTATTCTAGTTGAATACTGAGACAAGCAGTCTGAGCCAGACGTGGGGATTTGGCGTGAGTCAGCGTAGTGCTGGTAACTGGAGTCCAGGGAGTGAGATAGGGGAGGTGAAAAGAATGCCGGAGATTCCCCCTTTAGGGATAGCACAGTGTAAGGGCCAGAAAAGGAGAAGCCTTCCTCCAGCGTTTCCCTACCTCCCTTCCCCACTAGTGCAGCCATGCTGAAAATCGCAGAGATGGAGTACAGCGGTGCCACCAGCATCTTCCTGAGGCTGCTGCTGGATAAGAAGTACGCGTTGCCCTACCGGGTGCTGGACGCCTTGGTCTTCCACTTCCTGGGTTTCCGGACAGAGAAGCGTGAGCTGCCCGTGCTCTGGCACCAGTGCCTCCTGACTTTGGTCCAGCGCTACAAGGCTGACCTGGCCACAGAGCAGAAGGAGGCCCTCCTGGAACTGCTTCGGCTGCAGCCCCATCCCCTGCTGTCCCCCGAGATCAGGCGTGAGCTTCAGAGTGCCATCCCCCGAGATGTAGAAGATGTTCCCATCACCATGGAGTGACGGAGCAGTGCTCGTCCTGGTCTGCAGGGCATGGGAGGACACCAGGATCCCTGCTGCTGACTAAAGGTGACACTGAGCCTTTATAGCCGAAGACCCAGTTCAGGGCCACGAGAGGTCACGGGCCTCTGATTCCCCAGTTCCTGACAGGGAGAACTGAGTCTGGCCGGCTCTCTCTTCCATTCTAGGCCTGCATCCCTGCTCAGTTCTGGGACCTGACTTGAAACTCCACAGCCTAACAGTCCCACTTCCCAGCTGGGGGTTGGAGTGGGTACTTTCTCTCAGGCTGTTGTGTCAGTTCACTGGGAGGTAGATAAAAACAAAAGGCAGGTATTTATTGAACTTCAGTGTTTTGATGTGGTGGATGGAGATCTTTCTGCTTTCCCTCTTTTGTGGAGGTGGGCACTGCATCCCTGCTCCTGTGTAGCAGTGGTTTCTTCCCCGGTTTACATGGGAGCCGTGCCCCCCTCAGACAAGTTTGTTTCTCGAGGCTGTACCCACCCTGCCAGCCCCTAGAGGGCACAGCCTTTGCCTTCCCCTGACACAGGCTACTTTGGGAGAATGCCAGCAACCAGGAGGTTGTTCACAAGATGGTCTCAGCTGTGGTTGGAAGAGCTAGGAGAAAGCACCTAGAGGAAAGTGGAGATACAGAGGCGAGAAAGGTCAAGCTCGGGGTCACCGCCAGACCAGTGCCCTAACTTTCTTAGCTAATGAAAGCTTTAGACCAAGGGTTGGCAAACCAGGGTCACATGCCTGTTTCCTTATGGCCCGTGAGCTAAGAAGTTTTACATTTTTGAATGGCTAGGGAAAAAATTGAAAGAAGGGTATTTTGTGATAGGTGAAGATTATATGAAATTCAGATTTCAGTGTCCATAAATAAAGTTTTATTAAGATGCAGCCACACCCATCCATTTCCAGGTTCTCTCTGGCTGCTTTCATGCCACAGCAGCAGAGGCGAGTACAGTCTGGCTAGAACCCTTGTTACGTGCTTTGGAGAATGTGAATTCGTTCCAGCCTAATTACTGTATTTGGGAGGAATTTGATCATAAAGCAAATTTCACATTTATATGCAGTTTTGTCTTTGAGAAACACTAGGTGAAAGCAGAAAACTGTACCCGGCTGAGCTGAGCCAGATGATACACGGAACGCACATACCTCAGACATGTGCGAGCGACACCAGTTCACCTTGCGGGTTGGTACCACACCCACATCTGGTGTTACAACCCGCCTTCCACATCCTTCCGACCTCTACTTCCACAGCAGACTTCAGGTGTTGTTTGTTTTTCAAGATAAAGGGCCATGTTTATTGCAGTATGTGTTTTTAACCATTTAATGGGTAAAAGCACTATCTTTCCTTTTTTTAAAAGACAAGTCTCCCTCATTAAGTATGAGTAGAGTGCCTCAAGCCCCATTTTCCCCATAAGCCCTGTGGTTTTTATTGTGCAATTTTGCATGGTGCGGTGATTTTTAGGAATGCATAGATCACATTATGAAGCAAAACTGACTGTATGTGGGGCAGAGACCATATGGCCCACAAAACCTAAAGTATTTACTCTGGTCCTTTACAGAAAAGGCTTGGCGACCCCTACTTGAGACCACTGATTTCCACCCTCTAGATATAGGCTTTTGCCCACACTGCCATCCAATCCAAGAAGCCAAAGAGAGTTTTATTTCAGAATCTTTATTAAGGTAGCATGATGGTCCTGGGCCACCAGCCTGGACCTTGTGGCCTCGGGAAAGACCTGTGTCAACAGGGCTTGCCTCCCTCTCCAGACAGGGGGCTTGGTCACCTCCAGGTCATCGCTACTTCATCCCCCAGCCTTGCAGGATGGAGCAGAGGGCCAGAGGGAGAGGAGGGCGTGGCCCCACCCCAGGCTGTAGCAGCTCCTCGGCCATGAAGATCCTCTAGCGGTAGGATAGGGGAGGAATGCAGCAACCACCAGGGTCACCACCACTCAGGGTAGATAGGCCCCACCACACCCTCTTACAGCTGTACTCAAAGCAATTAATAAATTAAAACAACCTCTTCCTTCAGCACTGCCCCTCCACCCCCCAATCACACAGGAGAAGCTGAGCAGAAAGCAAAGCGAGGAGGTTGGTTCCTGCCCCTCAGACAGAGGCCAGGGCCCCTCCCTCTAGGAGCAGCTGAGAGCATGGATTATGCAGGGGCCTCCAAGTGCATTGAGAGGAGATGTCCACTCTTTCTTCTCACATGTGTCTAGAACATGTGAGGATTCTTCAGAAAGACCCCAATCCAAATGCAGTAACTAGGGAATTCCCTGGCAGTCCAGTGGTTAGGACTCCGCGCTTTCACTGCCGAGGGCCCGGGTTCAACTTTGGCAGTTGAGAACACGAGAGCCCCAGAGATAAGGGGGCCCCCAAAAGGAATGCTGGCACATGTATTCTACAGACTTCAATTTCATCTCTGGCCAGCCTGGCCCGCCCCCAGCTAAGACCGGGATGGGGGCTGAGCTGGTCAGATGCAGGGAGGAGGAGGAGCCTGACTGGCCACCCGCCGCAGCTGGCCAGGCCCCTTAGTGCACACTGCAGGGACAGGTAGGACCCGACCCCTTCGGCTTGCAACAGGCAAGTAGGAAGGAGCCCCCTCGGGCTTCAGCTGTGGCATGGTTCGTTCCTGCAGGCAGGGAGGGGGGTGGCAGTGTCCCCTCCTCTGCTGTCGGTGGCCACTCGAGGGGGCCTCGCCAGGGCTACAGGTGGATGGCTGTGACATCTGTGGGAGTGCTGGTCTGGCTGGGCCCCTGGCTGCTGGAGCCCCTGGGGGCTTTGGGCGCTGGACTGGGGGAGGTCTGGGCGGCTTCCCTGAGGCTCTCCCTGAGGGCAGCTTCAATCTGCTCCTGACAGGCCCGGAGGCAGTCCTGGGAACAAGGGGGAACGGTGAGGAAGGTCCACGTCCCTCCCCCCATAGCATGTGGCAGCAGGTGCTGGAGGACACCTCCCAGCACACAGGGAAGTCTGGGGAGGTTAGGCCACAGCCCAACCCCAGGAATCAGCTTTCAATTCTCAGAAACTGGCAAGAGGATGTGGCAAGAGGGTGTGAGAGCAGCCCAGCATCTGACACCAAATCCCCCACCCCCACTCCTGCACACCGTTTGGCAAGAAAAGGGTACCCAGGGACAGTGCCCTTCAGCCCGCCCAAGACACTTGCTCTTCTCCAGACCAAGGAAGGAGATAAAAGGCCACAGAAGCCCCAAAAGCAGGGCACTCAAAACCAGGAGTGGAGACAGGGCCGGGGGTGGGGGGGCGACAGCTCCCTCTGCTGGAGGCTCAGGGAATATAGCGCTGCCTCGTGAACTGAGGCCACTTGCCCAGCTGCCCAGCACTCACCACTTCAGTGCCTGTGATCCCTGCCAGCAGCTCTGTGAGCTCATCCCCAGATGTGGAGCAGGCACCCAGGCCTTGCACTGCAGCTCCAATGCTTCCCGTGGCAATCATGGATGGCGGGTACATGGCAAAGGTGTAATCTTGGAAAGAGAGGGGACCATGAGGCAAGGGTGGTTTCAAGGATAACAACCAGCACGCACCTTGTATTACCCAGAAGTGCCAGGCCGTGTGAACAGAGCAGGGGTCTTCTTGAAAACCCCAGCAGCGAGTGGTGTCAGATAGCAGGGGAGAAAGGCAGGAAAGGGGCTCTTTACTGGAGAGGGTCGGGTCCAGGGTGGTCTGTAAGTGATCCTGGCCAGGGACCAGGGAGTGAATGAGTCTCTTCCTGGTGTGGACACAAAATCAGGGTTAAGAGACCTGGTTTCTGCTCGCAACTTAGTCACTGTAAGACCCTGGGCAAGTCACTTCTCTCTAAGCTCTCAGTGACCCACCTACATACTTGGGGGGTGGGGGGGTGGTCTCTTGAGATCCCATACAGCTCTGCTGCTTTTCTGTATTGAGACTGGGGGCTCAGAGGGAACAGAATTTTCACAAATAAATTTTGAGAAGAAATTTAAGAAACCAGAAATCTGTTCCAATATTTCAGTTCAAGAAACCAGAATCTCCTGGTTACCGCTCACCCTTCCAAGTCTTCTGATTTCCCCGGCTTGGTAAAAATGTGTTTAGGACCCTTACCTGTAGCACAGAGGGCCAGAAAAGTCTGGGCGTGCTTCTTGACCAAGGCCTGTCGGTCACGGGGCAGAGAGAGCCGGTGCAGAATCAGGGCCAGGAAATCATGGGCAATCACGGCAGCCAGGTCCCACTTGAGCTTCCCCAGGACCAGCACCTCCCAGTCCTGGAGGTTGAGGAAGAGGGTAGGGTCAGTGGCTAAAGAAAGGAAGAGGAGGGAGTAAAGCAGAGGTCTCACAGGGAGGGAAGCGCATCACACTTGAAGGTCAGGACCCCAGTTCTGCTTTTGAATGTAAGGACTGGCACTGTGGCAGGGAAGAGGTGGGGGCACTTGCTTTGAGCCCTATTGATCATTTCCTAGATGCCAGAACTACATGCTTTACAAGAATTATCTCTTTTAATCCTGCTGGGTTATCTTTGGGATCCAGTAGTCCAGGCCTTCTCCTGACTTCCTGCAAGGCTCTGAGCACTTCTCCAGCCAGGGTTGAAAGAAAAGACTGCAGCAGCAGATCACCGCCACCATCACCATGAACTTGAGGCTCCTCTGGCACGAAGCAGAAAGATTCTCCATAATCCCAAGGATCTGTGAAAGGGGAGCTCACTAGCCTGCCCCCAACTCAGCATCCCATCCAAGTCCACACCTCTTTGAAGCAACTGGGGTGAGCATGAGGCCACACCTCCTGTGACACAGCTGCTGAGCCAACCCTGAGGTTCCTCAAAGTGGAGGTTGCCCAACCCAACCCACATCCCCTTGGTGGGACATTGGGGTGTAGGGCTGAGATAGAGCACCCCACTCTACCTCTTTGGCTGGAACCCATAGTGCCTAGTGCCATTTGAGTCTTAGGAAGAGAAGTGGAGGCCAAACCAAACAGGATGGGTCCAGATGATCCCTGAGGGATCAAACCATCTCTCTGCCTGCCCTAGCCTCTATACCACTGCTAGGTCCTGGAGGGAGGCTGGGAGACCCACCCCAATCCACTCATCTGGGGTTCCCAGCCCTGGCCCCACTTCTGAGTTGCACACATGAGGATTTCTTCATTGTTTTATCTCAGGAAGGAACTCATGGGTTTGACCCCTTACTGAGGTAGAAATGGCAACCCCATCCAACCTCTTTTAGGCCCCCAGTCACACTGTCCCTCTCCTGGCCCCCACCTAGGTGTCATCCTCTTGAACCTCTCACAGAGCCCCACAGAAAACAGCCCAGCCTGGAGCGGGAAGAAGTTGGGCAGAGAAGCTAGCATTCTACTCCCAGTGCTTGTCCCAGTGGTCAAACTCCTAACTCAGAAGTGAACAGAGGGACTTGCCTGCTGGCACAGTGATTAAGAATCTACCTGCCAGTGCCGGGGACACAGGTTTGAGCCCGGTCCGGGAAGATCCCACATGCCGCGGAGCAACTAAGCCCATGCACCACAACGACTGAGCCTGCGCTCTAGAGCCTGTGAGCCACAACTACTGAGCCCGCGTGCCTAGAGCCTGTGCTTCGCACCAAGAGAAGCCACCGCAATGAGAAGCCTGTGCACCACAAGGAAGAGTATAACTCCTGCTCGCTGCAACCAGAGAAAGCCCACATGTGGCAACGAAGACCCAATGCAGCCTAATTAATTTTTTTTAAAAAAAGAAACCTTTAGGGGAAAAAAAAGAAGTGAACAGAAAGCACCTAGCATCCAAGGAAACATCTAGAAGGCAACTTGGAGTGGGGCTTTCCCTGTGGGGAGGCATAGGGTCCTGCGTGAGGGAGGGCAGCCACCTTACCCTGTATCAGGGCAGCCCCTGAGAATCTCAGCCCTCACTTGGCCAAGAACACACCCCTGGCAGCTTCCATCACGTCCCTAACCTCTAAGGCCACCTGAGTGCTAGAACATCCAAATTCTCCTCAACCTCAGTGCAATGCTGAGGCAGGACCTTTCTTTCCTTCCTTCTCTGGGCCCTAACCTTCTCTGTGGCATGAGGATTTGGACTGACTGGAGCTCTCTGAGGTCCCTTCCAACTCTGACCTTCTAGGAAGTCATTGATCGGCATACTCCACCCCCCAGCTCAGGCATGGGGAGGACTTTTGGCCTGTTCTGAAAAACTCTCCTCACATAAAGGCACACACGCCATCCTAATCTTTTCACAAAAAGGAAGTCCCCTTCTACCTTCTAGCCTAAACCCCTCCAAACACATCTTGCTCATTAGCCCTGAAAACCAGCTCCACTGGTTTGCCAAAAACTACCAAAAACTAGACTTGCCAAAAACTACCAGATTCATCACAAAGAGCTGTGGGGCCTCCCGGATTCCCAACTCCGGCCTCCTACTCCCATCTCCGAGAGCTACTTGGCAGGAAGAGGAATCCCGTTCCTCGACAAGCAGCACTCGGGGGCCCCAGTACCCTGGCTTCTTGGCCAGCCAATCACAGCAGCCTGCACGCTGCCCTCCTCCCCGGGAGATGGGGCCCAGAGACTCCTCTCCGGGTCAAGAGAAGACTGGGCCGCTGTAGAGCAAGGTGGAGGAAGGTGCCAGCTCACCCGTCTCCCCCCACCCCCACCCCTCGGGAGACGATCTGCACGCCCTAAATAACCTCTTCCAGATCCAAGCAGCTCCCCCACCTCCTCTCCAGGCTCAGTGGGGAAAGAGAACCGGTGTCTCCCCTGTCCTGCCTCGGGAAGAGCCCAGCCCAAGTTCCCAGCAAGAGGCCCAGGGAGCCACTTCCCAAACCACAGGAGTGACAGCAGCTCCCCACAGTGTTATGAAAGACCTTGGTCAGAGTGGGTGGGCCAGGGGACAGGGCATCATTATCACATCGGAAGCAGCTGCAGCTCAGCCCCAGTCTGTGCCTCAGCTCTGGCCTTTGGCTAAAGAGGAAAAGAAGAGATGATTCCACAGGCCTGAAGCAGCTGCTCAAGTTTCCCAGAGTGAGGCTAGCGAATGGAGAATTAGGAAGGAGCTGTTTCTCCTGGGATATAAAAGGAAGGAAAGAAGGTGGGATGAAACGCCTTGGCCCTTCCTTACAGCAACCCTGGCTATAATCTGCTCTGGGAGGCTTTTCAATCACAAAGTCCACACACTGGGATAAAGACTCAACCAGGGCGGCCCCCCTCCCCCACATGAAGCACATTCCACTCCCCCACTCCAGGGGGGGTGCGTAGGCATGTCCTGCTGCTGCCAATAAATAACTCATGGTGGCTGTGTAAACCCAGAGGCAAAGTACTAGTGAGTGTAGACATGCAGTTTGACTTGTTGCTATCTGGGGGAAAGACCAGGAAGGAGTGGCACCCACTGGAGGTCAGGAGAAGGGGTTTGGTTCACGCTGGCAGTGCAAGCCTGGGCTTGGGGCTACCCTGACTATCACACCACACTGTCCCATCTCTTATCAAAAAAAAAAAAAAAAAAAACCTCTGCTACCCTCCCCAGGGACAGAAAGCCTCTTGAGGGTCTTAGCTTTCCTTTTCCTGGTAAGTGAGGAGGCAGTGTGTGTTGGGGGGTGGGGAGGATTATGCACGCACCCGCAGCTGGCGGGGAGAGACAGAGTGGTCGGTGTAGATGCAGAGTTTTTCGATGGTCAGGGGCGTAGTCTCGCGCAGCTTGGAGGCCAGCAGCATGCAGACCGCACCCAGGAGCTGCAACTGCGCCTTGCGGGTGGGGACGCAGGACAGGTAGCGATCCAGGTAGTTCATGGCCAGGGGGAAGACTTCCTCCTCACAGCGCTGCTCCTCACACACCTGGGGGAGGGCGCACAGTCACTTCTGGGGCAGAGGCAAAGGAAACGCAGCAGCACTAAAGGGGGGGGGGGCGGTGAGCTGAAGGGAAGTGGAATAGGGAGCAAGAATCGGGAGGGGGTAGGTGTACTTACAGTGACAAGGACTAATACGCAGGATGCGCCTTCCCCAAGGTGTTGTCCCCCCTCCACTTCCTCTGCGGTGCCTCCTTCCCCCCGGGGGTGGGGGGAAGCGGGGTACGCCAGAGGCTTCCTCCCTTAAGGATTCCAAACTGAGACTGCCCCCCCCACACCAATACCGAGGGTGAGAGGGGACGGAAGAGTCACCCACGGGAGCCAGAGAACTGGGACCTTAAACCCCATTACTGCCACCCAGTGCACACACCCAAAGGGAAGGGAGGAGACGCCAGCGGCTGCCTCCCGCACTTTTCATTTCCCTGACTGCCGGAACAGCGCGCCACCCCACCGCCTTCCCCGCCAGAACCCCGCGACACACAGGAACCGGCTCTGCGGCGGGGGCGGCCGAGCCCAGGGTTTTCCAGGCGCGCTCTCCCTAGAAGACCGGGCGGGGGAGCGAGGGGGGAGACGCTGAAAGAAGCCGGAGGGGAGAGGGTGGCCCTTGTCCCGCTTTTCCGGCCCGAAGAGAGGGTTACTTGGGGTGCCAAACAACTGGCAGTCAAAGTCAGGGTTGGAGAAGGGAAAGAAAGGGACACCAGGGAGGCAGCCGGGTAGGGTGCACGAGTGAAAGGAGTGAAAGGCCAGGCCCCGAGGATCTGCGCCACAGAAACATCTTGCTGATTGTTGTTGGGACCAGGATGTCCCAAGCCGGGGACGCCGGGGTGGCGGGGGAGGGGAGACCCTCCGGGCGGTACCTCCAGCATCCAGTACGCCAGCATCTTCCGCATGTGCGGCTTGATCTCCCTCTGCACACACTGGAAGTAAGAGGCGCGGGGCACGTAGCGCTCTTCCAGGCGGAGCAAGCTCTGCAGGACACGCTGGTCCCCCAGCAGCCGCGGGTCCGGCCCGGCCCGGGGCGCGTGCCGGGTGCCCTCGCAGCACAGCAGCTCCATACTCGGGCAGCGCACGGGCAGGGCGGGAGTGCGGGCTCGCGAGCCAGAACGCAGGCGGCGGGCCGGAGAGCGCGGGGCGCGGGTCTAGTGCTGGCGCTGGCACTGCGCGGCGGAGCCTCAGCCCGCCCCCGCCGCCGAGCGCGCCGCTTCCCTGACAGGCGCCCCGCCCCTCGCGACCGAGTAGCAACCGTGGAATGCTCGGACGTCGCGACGTTCCAGGGGGCGGGGCCTCCGGCGCCCAGACGGAAAGGGCTGGCGGGCGCTCCCCCTCCCCCCGGGCGACCGCATTGGTCCCCGCGGCGCGGGCCGGCCGGCTTCCGGGCGCTCCGGGTCCTTCTGACCACCCGGTGGAGAGAAGTTCTTTCGAGGTGGGCCACTTCCCCACCTCCGAGCCCTCCCATTTTGCTTCTCTGACTCCAGTCGCCCAGGAAGGACTCCAAAGTTTATTTATTCATTCATTCGTCAAACCGTGCTTCGCCCTTGGCTGCTTGCTCTAGGGAATATAAATAATAATAAAACAGCTAGTTCTTAGTGAAGAATGTTCTAAGCACTTATTAAATCTTCACGAAAAAGCTAGGAGTTAAGTCATACTGATTCTGCGGTTGAGAAAACTGAAGTACAGTAACTATGATAATAGTTTGTCTGCAGCAGAGCTAGGACTGGGAAGCTGACGATCTGGCTCTAGAATCTGTGCTCTACACCATTGCTACTTAAACTGATCCCCAGACCAGCAACATCTTCATCGCCTGAGGGCTGGTTAGAAATGCAGACCCTCAGGCCCATCCCTGACCTGCTGGATCAAAATCTGCATTTCAACAAGATCCCTGGTGATTCCTGTGCATATTAAAGTGTGAGAAGAGATAGTCTAAATCAGTACATTTTAGAAATACAACAGGGTGGAAAGGCCATGGCTTCAAGGCCTCACCTTGTCATTAAATTGGCTGTGTGGCCTTGGACAAACCCTGAAGTCGGCCTTAGTTTCTGTTTGAGGAAAACATGGGCAGAGAAACTAGCTCCTCTTTTTTTCAATCAATATATATATATTTTTTTACCAGTTTCTTTTATAAAAAATAAATTTATCTATTTTTGGCTGCGTTGGATCTTCGTTGCTGTGCACGGGTTTTCTCTAGTAGCAGCGAGAGGGGGCTGGCTTCTCACTGTGGTGGCTTCTCTTGTTGCGGAGCACAGGCTCTAGGCATGTGGGCTCAGTAGTTGTGGCTCACGGGCTTAGTTGCTCCCCAGCACGTGGGATCTTCCTGGACCAGGGCTCGAACCTGTGTCCCCTGCATGGGCAGGTGGATTCTTAATAACTGCGCCACCATGGAAGTCCAAAACTAGCTCCTTTTTGGAGGAGTTTCTTGCTCAGACTCTATATAAAATCTTCCAGTTGCCATTTCTTCTACCTCCCAAACTTTGGGACTTTGCAGTTTGTCCAAAGCTGGATCCCACATGACCAGGAGGCAAACCACAAGCCTCCAGTAATGCTCCAAATGGGAGGAGGCCTTGGGGATCCCTGCCTCTCCTGGGGTCCTCCAAGGAGAGGAGACGCTAAGGAAGCGAGTTACTAGAGCAATGACACCCTATATAAGAGGCAAGCTCTGCGTTAAGCATTTTCTCAATGAATTGTTCTTTTTTATATAATAATTTTTTGTTGTTTTCATATCATGGAAATATTCATCTGCATTGTAGAAAACAGAAAATACTGATAAGTCACACAAAAAAGGAAATAATAATTACTCACAATTGCACCATCCAGATAACCCTTTAAAATGTCAATGTTTATTTTTCTAAAATTATTCTCTGAATAAACACATATATTTTTAAAAATGAGATCATTCTGCAAAGTTTTGTAAGCTGTTTTTTTCACTAAAAAGTATACTGTCAACACATTTTCCATCTCATTAAATATTCTTCAACATATTTTTAATGACTTCCTAGTATGCCATTGAGTGAATAGATCATAATGTATTTCACCAAACCTGTATTGTTGGCAATTTAGATAGTTTCTAGTTCTTCTCTATTAGAAATAATACTGTAAAATATTTTTGTGGTGATATCTTTGTGCACACTCATGATTATTTCTAGAAGTGAATTAATTTCTAGAAGTGGAATTTCTCAATCAGAGGTTATGAAACATTCTAAGGCTTTTGATACAGTTCTTATTACCAAATTTCCCTGCTGAAAGGCTGAACCAATCTAATGAACAAACATTAGATATCTACTTAAAAAAAAAAAAAGCACCTCTACCAACTGGCAAGATGAAAAGTGGTTTATTAGTAATCTGCATAAATTTTTAAATTCAACAGCTCTTGTTGTGTCAGCGTGAATGTGTGCTGTGTACCTTGTCTGATCTTGCAAGTCGTCTACTCTCTTCAAAAATACAAACAAGAAGTTCCTTTAGTTAACTAATCATTGCATTGCACTCTTTTGTTAAGGACAACAATGAATCTAAAATTATAAAGATCAGATGTGAAGTTATGGGGAGGCAAAGATGTTGAAGTGTAAAGGGCTTTTAGGGGGACGAAAAAATGTAGCTTTTGAAGTTAAATACATAACCAGAAACCAGATCTGTCCTGAAGGAAGATGTTTCTTTACTTTCAGAATTATTGAGTAGGACTGTTCAGTTAGGAAGATTGTGCATCTTTGATGAGACAGTAAATCACCAGTATTTTTTACTTTTTTCAGAAGTATATTATTATTTCCCCACATTTTACAGAAAGGGAAACCTGTACTCAGAGTGGCTAAATAATTTGCCCAAGGTCCCAAAGCTAATAAGTGGTAGAGGCATGATTCAACCTAGGGAGTCCGCCTGCAGAATTCATGCTCTTAACTACTTTATTCTACTGCCTCTTGTGCTCCTTCATGAGTGCGAATTGACTTATTAGTTGTTGGTTTACTGAGGAAGGGGAACACCTGCACCCTGTGGAAGGTGGCTCCTGGTGAGCAGGGCCTTTTGAAGGATACTTCTGCCTCGCCCCTAGCTGGGACTGCCATGCCCAGAGCAGAGTCATCCTGGGCCTCCAGGCCAAGGTCAGCTACAAGCCGGCTGTCCTACAAGGAGGTAGGTGAGCTCAACACAGCGCCAAGGCAGAAGAGTTTCTGGAGGGCTGGCTGATCTGCTTGGGAACTTCACCAAGCACCTCCACCTCAAAGAAATAGGGGCTCCCCTTGTATTTTTCATAAAAGAAGAAAAAAAAAGACAAAGCACTGACCAGGGCCAATATGGGGAGGAGTTTCTGCCCAGGTGCATTCAATTAGAAAAAGTTGCTCAATGAAATGGCAAATTAGAGGGGTGGGAATGGAATGTCACAGGCCAGATGAAAAGCCCCAAGGAGGAAGGATGCAATGCTTTCTTCTTCTTCTTCCTTCTCCCACTCCTCCTCCTCTTCAGCATTGAAATGTCCCCATTTGAGAACTGAGGGGGTGGACAAGGTGATGGGTGAGGCCCATCACCCCACAGGCTACATTCTATAGCTGTTACCTTCAGACCCATTGAGATGACAGGTAGAGGCAAGGCAGCCTGGGTGGGGGGCTGGGGCAATGCAGCGGGGTCAGGCTGCTTGTGTTCAAAGCCTGGCTCCACCGTTTGCTCTTTGGTCCAATGAAGATAATAATAGTTTTACCCCGCACAGGGGTTCTGAGGACTAACCAGGCAGAAAGCATCTTGCCTGTGCCTGGCCCATATGAGCATTCAAAGATGGTAGTTTTGCTGTTGTCGTTGTTCCCTCTTTCAAGGAGTACCCTTTCTCCTATGAACATACACCCGGAACCCCTCAGAGAAAAGCAAAATTTGAGGACCAGAAGCCCTCCTTCTGGAATGGCAGCTCCAACAAACTTAGATGATCCAGATCACCGTGTGAAGTACATGGTCAGGGGGCTGGTGGTGAACACTGCAGGGCCCGGGGACACACTGCTCTGTCACTCCACCCTCCCTGGCTGTGTGACTTTGGGCAAATTATACCACCTCTCTGTGCCTCAGTTTCCTTTTCTGAAAATGAGAATGATAGTAATGAAACCGTGCTTATGTTGCAGGGTTTTGTTGCTAAGCAAGGCTGCTCGGTTTTGCAACCCTGCTTTCTTAAGTGATTATTAACTTACAGGGGTCTCCCATACTTTTTTCTTTACTTACAATCCCCTAGTGGACTTAACTATCAGTAATACCCCCCCTAAGTGTGGTTGGGAGGATGAAATGCACTCATTCGTGTCAAACACACAGAACAGTGCCTGGCATATGGTGAGCCATTGAAAAAAAAAGTTCATCGTGATTGTGGAATTTACAGGCACAAATTTCTTTATCTATAGGGACTATTTATGATAATAAATGTAATATGATGGATGTGGAGGCACCTGGAAAATATAAAATGCCAGGGATTACTGTAGTGGTGGGAAAGATTTGGCAAATTCTTTGCTTCAGAAGGGATGAAGACGACAAGTGTTCTGGTCAATGAAACAATCCAGTATATGAAAAGCGGTCTAACATGCCTTTATCGGATTCCTAGTTTTCCGAGAACTGGAGAAACTTATATGAATACTATTTCCCCCCAAATTTTTACTTGGAAATATTTCAAAACTACAGGAAAGCTACAAGAATAGCACAGTGACCACTAACACACCCTTCACCTAAATTCCTACGTGTATTTTGCTGAACTATTTGAGACCTAATTACAGACATCATGACTCCTTACCCCTACGTTTTTCAGCCTGTGTCTCCTAAGAATGCAACAGTCTCCCAGTAACCATGAAACAATGATCCCAATTAGAAATTGCATACTAATACAATACCACAGACAAGCTACATACAAAGGTCCCCAGTTGTTCCAGTAATAGCCTTTCATAGCTTTTTGCTTTCTCAACCCAAGATCCATTCGAGGATTGTGCTTGCATTGTTACCTCTTTAATCTCCTTTACTCTAGAACAGTTCCTCACCCTTTTTTAAAGTCTTTGATGGACTTCCCTAGTGGTCCAATGGTTAAGACTGTGTGTTTCCACTGCAGGGGGCACGGTTTTGATCCCTGATGAGGGAACTAAGATCCCACATGCCATGCGCTGTGGCCAAAAAAAAAAAAAAGTCTCTGATAACACTGGTATTTTGGAAAGCCAATTGTTTTAATTAAGCCTTAAACCAAACTGAACAACATTTTTTTTTTTTAGGATTCAGGAGACACTTCAGGGCTTACAGTAATCCAGGTCA